TGGACAGAGGCCGCCCAAGAGGGCGCCGGGGGCGAGGACGACCCCCGGCGGTTCCCGTACCACCGGCGGCTGCAGGTGGCCGCGCAGCGGGGGGATCCCCGGGAGGCGGAGGGCGTGCTGGCTGACATGGCGGACGCCGGCCTGCCGCCGGGGCCGCGCGCGTGGCACGTGCTGGCGCTGGCGCACCTCAAGGCGGGGGACGTGGACGGCGCGCTGGAGGCCAGCGTTCGCGCCGACACGGGTGCGCTTTGTGCCAAAGTCGGGGGCCGAGGCAGGGGGCACCGCAGCTGCAGGGGTCGCACGGGCGGGAGCAGGGTCGGTGCGCCGGGGCGCGACACGGGAGCAGGCAGGCACGCGGCAGCGGTTCGCATCGGCGTCGCAGCGGCGGCGCCCTTTTGCCACGTCGTCCTGCGCCCCCCCCCAGCCCCCACCCCCATCCGCGGCCCCGTTGCCAGCCCAGCTTGACTCCTCTACCATCAAGCAGCTCAACCCGCATCCCCCAACCCCCCGCAGCCGGCGTGGTGCTGCTGCCGGACACGTGGTGCGCCCTGGTGTACGGCATGCTGCAGGGGGAGGAGCCCGACGTGGCGGGGGCGCGCGACATAGCCGCCACGGTGGAGGTGCGCGGAGGGGGCGGGGGTGCGGAGGCGGGTCGGTTGAGGAGGAGGCGTCAGGGGGTTGCGCACGCCGTCTGACTGGGGTCGAGTGCTTCCAAAGTGCCGGGCCTCAGCTGGACGGGGTCGCAGTAGCAGTGGCAGTGGCTGGCCGTTCCACGCCGATTCGCCCTCGCGTTTACACCCGAGGACTGGCTCGTGCCGCCGCCCCCGCTCTCTCCTCGCAACCAACGCCGCGGCGCCCCGCAGGACTCTGGTGGCGACGTGGTCCCGGCGCGCCGCGTTCTGCTGATCGAGCTGTCGCGCCGCGGGCTGCACGCGGAGGCGCTGCAGGAGGGCGCAGCGCTGCGCGGCGGCGGCGGTTTTGAGGGCGCGGCGCTGGACGCGCCGCGCGCGCTGGAGGCGGCGGCGGCCTACGCGGAGAGCCTGTGCGCAGAAGGGCAATACGTGAGCTGGGTGGCTGTTTGGCGCAAGCCGGGGGCTCAGCGATGGGGCCGTGCCTGGGGTGGACTCTACCCCGCCTTCGGTCTGGACTGCAGCGGCAGAGCTGGTGCTGGGGCGGCTCACGAGCAGGGGGTGGGGGGCCTCACCACAGGCGCGCCAGCCCAGCCCCGCGCCTGCCGTGATGCTGCTGCCGGCTCCGCCAGCCCCATGCCGCCCTCCCCCGCACGTGTGGCGTCGTCCTGCTTGTGTATCTCAGGATCGCTCGCTCGTTCCATAATACACCCGCCCTCTCACGCGCCACATCATACGCACAGCAGCACAGACCACTTTCAAACTTGTGTTCACACACGAACACACACACACACACACACACACACACACACACACACACACACAAGCGCATGTGTGCGTGCGCGATAACAACCATACACACACGCACACAACGACCAACGCACCCCCCCCCCCAAACCCCAGGCCGACGCCACTGAGTTTGCCCAGGAGCTCTCCGTCACCGGCCGCGCCGACGCCGTCGCGACCCGCATCACCGCCGCCCTCGTGCGCGCGACCGCCCTCGCCGGCGACATCGCCGCGGCCCAGAGCCTGCTGGACGAGGCGGTGCGTGACGGCGAGCGGCTGGACGCGGCCTGCTACAACGGGCTGATCGCGGGGCTCGTCAAATGGATGGCGCCGGCCAACGGCAACGGCGGTGGCGGCGGCGGCGGGGTCAATGGCGGCGCGGTCAGGGGGGACAACGTGTACGGCATCAGCCTCGAGGACCAGTGAGCAGTGGAGGGGTGGGGTTGGTGCTGGACGGCAGGGAGGTTGGGGG